GGTCACTGCGCCCGGCGACGCACCGCAGGGGCCCGCGCAGCAGGGAGAGCGCACGGAGTCCTCTCCCTTTCCTGAGCAAGCGGGGAGGCTCCGATTGGCAAGATGGTGCCCAGCTCTCCTCGCGCACTTTTCCTCCTGCTTCTGCTCCTCGCCTGCCCGGGGTCATGGGCTTCCAAGGTCAGTCACTGTCCCCAAAGCCCCCTCTGCCCTGTCCCTGAGCGGGGTGGCAACGCCGAGGCCGGAGCGTTCCACTTAGATGCTCGGGGTGGGGGCTTGGGGTTCAGTTTCAGAGAAAGATGCAGGGTCCCTGTCTGTCATCTCCACTGCATGGCGGGCCAGACGCCCCCGCGGGTCCCGGGCTGGCATAGTTGAGCGGTTTGCGCTCCACGTGAGAGTCCCTGGTAGCAAGATTTCCAGCACCTTGATCCTTTCTGGGTCTCTTGGAGAGCGCCCAACCATCTGGTGAAGTTAGAGGATATCTCCATCCTCCAACATTTACATTCTCGCCGAAATACTCTGCCTGTGCCACACCTTGAACACCCAGGCAACTTTCTTAGCAGTTCGGAGTATTTGCAAGGCAGAGGTGACTGGGAAGGTTCTGAGGCCGTCCTATCTTGAGGCTTGGTGGCCTCACTTAGAGTTGGGACTTCATTTTCTTTCATCCACCTACAGGCAGCTTGCTATTTAGTCTCTCTGTTGTTTATATTTGCTGGAAGCCCACTTGCATTTGTATATTTGGTCAGATTCATTTTTACCTTATAACTAAGAGAAACTGGTTTTTAAAATGCAGATTGAAAATGCATTTTAGGAAGGTGGATTTGGAATTGCCAAGTTCATAGCCAGCACTCACAAGACTATTTCTGGCAGACAGCAACTGCTTCCCTCCAGCGGCCTGGCCTGTGCACAACCCCATCAGCTACCCCGGCTGCGCCATCCAGCAACAGCAGGACAAGCTTGGGGCCTGATGTTTGCCTGGGTCCTTTTGGGGCATCGTCACTTAATTCTCACAGCCACCCTTTGAGATGAGGACTGTTATCATTGCAGAGGAGAAAATTAAGGAACAGAGGTGTGATATATTCAAGATCTCACAGCAGAACAAGTCTGTAGATTACAAAACAAAAAATCTCCAAACCCAACATCAGAAGCACAGGAAGATGCGGCTCCCTGGGGGCAGGTGGGCAGGTGGGCACGAGCCCAGCTCTGCCATTGACTGATCTTAGCTGCTTAATCCCTGAAGTGGGTTAACAGCTGTCACCTGAGGTCACCAGAAAGCAGGTGAGGTCAGGGCAATTGTATGTTTGCAGCTGCTGGAGAGTCAGGAGTGAGCTTGACCCAGTTCTGTTCCCAGGAAATCAGGATCCAATTCCTGCCTGGCTGCACCCAGGCTTTCTCAAATTCCTTACTACTAAATCTCGCTTTCTCTACCTTAAAAAGCAGCTGCTGTGGGTGTTTTGAGGGTGTGGGGAGAGGTCCATAGATGCTCACATCAGAGACCTGGTGGAAGTGTCCTTTCACTCAGAGTCCTGTGAGCCTTGTGCTCTCTCAGGCCTCTGAGCCTGCTGGACCTCCTCTGCCTTACCTGGCCTCTTCTCATGTTTCAGATCTCAGCCCAGATAAGCACCCATTCCCAAAGGCTGTCTGAGCCCCATTCTGAACAGGCCCTCACCCTGCCCTTGCATTTTCTCTTACGGTTTCCTGAAAGGCTTTGTACTGAGGAGGTTTGGTGGGATTGGGGTTGGCTCTCTGTCTTCCTCACTACAGAGCCACTCCGTGCAAGGAGCTCAGGGGAGCAGTGGCACACCATGGTGTGGATGCCTTTGGCAGGCCTCTGGGCATTCACATCACCCAGGGGGCTTTTAAAAACCTCAATGCTTAGCTGCACCCCTGGGATTCTGATTCAATTGAACATGTGTCTCAGACATCTGTTTTAAGCAGTTGCCCTAGTGATTCCAACAGAGAAAATGATGAAGCCCAGAGCAGTCCTGGCTCTCAGCGTTACACTGTGGGGCAGGAATAACTGAGGACAGGAAAATCTGTACAGGGTGAAGGACTGGCCACATGAGGACCTCAGGTGACAGGGGCTGCCTGACAGTGTGAGGTCTTTAGTGAGATTTTGTGGCTGCTGGAGACCTGGTAAGTGTTAGGAAATTGAATTGGACCCACAGGCCCATCTCTGGCCTCAGAAGATGTGTGAGGGGCCCATAAGGGACACTGAGAAGGGGCTTCCCCTGGCAAAGGCCCTTGGCCCTGGAACACAACCCACAGGGTTGTCTGGGCTTACTGTTTCCCTGTGAATGTGAATGTGACAAAATTGTCATTTTGTGTGTACACATGTCAGTGTATATAAGTGTGTGTGTGTTGCTCTGTGTCTGTGAAGGCATGGCTGTGCATGTGTATGATGGTGTGTGTGTGCATGTGTCAGTGTACATGAGTGTGTGTTGCTGTGTGTGCATATGTAAATGTGTAATGGAGGGTGTATACGTATTTGTGTGTGTGCGTGTGTGGTTGTGTGTGGTGGTGGATGCCTCTGTGTGGAGGCTGCTTTTCATGGGGTCCAGAGCAGTGACTCTGTGGGCATGGCTAGTCCTCTCTTCCCTGCTGTCCTCCATGGCTTTCCATTGTGTTCCCTGTCAGCACATTTGCCTGAGTGGCTTTGAGATGTTTCGTGACTGGCTGATGGAGATCAGGTGGCTGTAGGGAAGGAGGGGAGGTAGGCAGTATGGGGGTCCGGAAGGAGCCAGCTCACTCCAGAGCATCTCCTGAAAGAGACTCAGGTACACTGGGGAGACAAGAATGAATCTTTAACTGCCCACACCTTCTACCACCCCATAGAGGCACGAGGTGGCAGTGAAGCACAGGCTCCCAGCCTCCCTGCCTTGGGGTAGACTTCTCTCCCTGTCATTAAATGTCTCAGGCTTCCAAATTCCACCACCAGAGATTCATTTATTTATTGATATTTTTTAAAATTGTTAACAAGGAATGTTTTTGGTGCATATTTCCATGATGTCAACCATGGAACACCACCTCTAAGACAGTCAAGATACGGGGGCAGTCCCACCCACCCTCCAAGAAAGACAAATGAAACTTTGCAGCCCTTTGAGTCACCGCCCTGCCCGGGGCTCAGGGGTCGATCTGCATCTCTGATCTGCTCACAGTGGGTACCCACACCCAAGAGCTCCTTTACTGCAGTGCAATGCGGCTAAGACTCATTGCGTTCAGGGTTACTTTTTATTGCTGAGACTGATCCATCATAGCAGTTATCACAGTGTATCCATCCACCCACTGAACAACACTGGTAGCGTCCTTTCTGGTTTTGGGCAATCATAAGAAGAGCTGTGATGAATGTCTGGATACAGCTTTTTGTGTAAATGTAAATTTTTATTTCTCTGGGGTGAACACCTAGACGTGAGGTGTCTGGGTTGTGTGGTTAATGGATATTTAACTGTGCAAGGAATTGCTGAGCTGTACTTCCTGTAGGATGTATCATTTTATACTCCCACCAGCCGTGCATGAAAGACCTAATTGCTCTATAACTTCACTCATACTTAATACTGCTAGATTGGTTTGTTTTCTCCAAATCACACACACACACACACACACACACACACACACGCACGCACGCACACATATTAAAAATACATATATAACTCTAAAAGCTAAAAATACAGAGCATTTTCACATGCTTATTTGCCATATGAATAATCTATTGAATGAAATACCCATTCAAGTCTTCTGCTTTTTCATAGTTGTTTTTTTTTTTTTTTTTTTTTTTTTTTTTTTTGGTACTGGGGATCGAACTCAGGTCCTCAAGCTTGTGAGGCAGGTGCTAGAACCACTGAGCTAAATCCCTGGCCCTGTTTGCTTATATTTTAAGACAGTCTCACTCATTGCCCAAGCTGGTTTTTAACTCCTGGACTCAAGCAGTCTCTTGCATCAGCTCCCAAGTAGGTGGAACCATAGGCATTACACCAATCACCTTGAAAAAAATTCATTTCATTGTGCCCAGCTTACTTATTTTTTAAATTAATGGATTTAATTTTAGCAGGTTCATACCTGCATGTAACATATTTTGATCATTTTCACCCCATCACCCCCTCACTCTGCTGTCCCCCTGTTTCACATTTTGGGGAGGGTTAAATATATAGAATAGATTTTGCTCATATCATTCCCACTGGTACCTGGAGCTCGCTCATTTTAAAATGTATTATTTGTTTTCTTATTGTTAAGTTATGAGTGCTTTTTATATATTTTAAATACAAGTCCTTTTTTGAATTTGTGACTTATGAATATTTTCTCCCAGTTTGTAGCTTCTCTTAGTAGTGTCTTTTGTAAAGCAACGGTATTAAATCTTAATGAAATCTTATTTCCTAGGTTTTGACTTTTATGGATCAGATTTTTGATGGACAAGTCTAACAACCTTTGTCTTAACCCCAGGTCATGAAATTCTTCTATGTTTTCTTCTAAATGTTCATAGCTTTACATTTTTACTGTGATCCATTTTGAGTTCCTTTTTTATGAAGTGAGGTTTATGTTGAAGATAATGTTTTACAAATGGATATTCATGTGCTCCAACACTATTTGTTAAAAGATTGCTGCGTTACCATTGAATTGCCTCAAATGAAGACAATTTGGATTGTCAAAATTTTGCCAATGACACACTATCTTGATTGGTACTGCTTTACAAGTTGAGAACGTAAGTTCTCTATTATTCCTTTTCAAAATGGTTTTTGGCTATTCTAGTTTCTTTGTCTTTTCATTAAAATTTTGGAATTAGCTCATGTATATTCACAAAAAGTCCTACTAAAGTTTGTTTTTTTGCCTGTGAAGAAATAAAAAATCTTTTTTTTTTTTTTTTGGTACCGGGGATTGAACTCGGGTCCTTGCGCTTGCAAAGCAGGCCACCGAACTGCTGAGCTAATTCCCCAGCCCTCTAAAGTTTTGATTGATTGTCAGTGCATTAAATATAGGAAAGAATTGGCATCTTAAAGATACTGAGTCTTCCAATCAATGAACGCAGTATGTCTTTCCATTTATTTTCATCTTGTTTGTTTTCTTCCATCAGTATTTTTACTTTTCAATATAGATGTGTTCTGTTAGATTTATATTTAATTATTTCATTTTTGGAGCTATTTTAAATGGTATTTAAAAATTTTTAAATATCCAGTTGTCACCACCTA